ATAGAACTTTGGAAAAATCTTAAATCCAAGTTTGATCATCAAAAGACCATTTTCCTTCCGCATGCACATCATAATTGGACACATTTACGTGTCTTAGATTTTCCAAATTTAAATGCTTTCAATAGTGAAATGTATAATATTGTCTCACAATTACGATTATGTGGACAAAGCATCTCTGAAGAAGAAATGATTGAGAAAACTCTCTCTACATTTCTTCCTATATCTACTATGTTTGCACAACAATATAAGAACATGAAATTTCAAAGTCATTCTGATCTCATGTCCTATCTACTTCTTGTGGAGAAGCAAAATAATCTACTCTTATGCAATGTGATAGCTCGTCCTATTGGAACCATAGTTCCAAAATCTTATGGACTTAATATTTCAAAGTTTAAGCAAAATTATATAAACATGGGAAATATACTCATAAGTATTAGGGCAATTATAGTCATGACCATTTCTATCCATATAGAAAGAATAAACGATTCTACTATTAATTATAGTAGAAAATAAAAATCAAAGATGTGTTCTTGCCATAAATATAGAATGATTGGACATTTAGCACACGCGTGCCATATTTTAAAATATTTTATTAAAATGCTCCAAAAAAAAAAAAAAAAAAAAAAAAACTATGAATTGAGGCTCGTGAAGTTCATACCATGGATGCATCCATGGATTCAATTGGTGTTGATGATTTAGAGGCTTATATGAATGACAAAACTTCTAATGATGAATCAAATGATGCGCTCATTGATTTTACAACAATGCATACTATCCTATGGTGTAGACAATTTTTTATTGAACAATCTTCAACTTGGCAAACTAAAAATATGATGACCATGGTTGAAACAAATGTATTTTATTTCCAAGAGGGAACAACGATGGTAAAATTACCTTCAAGTTCCATCATAAAATGTAAACATCCAATGTTTGCACCCTCAACACCTTGGAGTCTGATCAGCTATCGAAATATGTGTATCAATGGTTATTACCTCTCGACCGCCATTTTAAATAAAAAAGAGATTTTGGTTCTTACGAAGAATCATAAAATTATTGAAAAAGCTTTTGCTACAGAAAATGGTCTATACGGAATTGTAATTTGGCCTCCTATTATATTTAATTTTGCATCATCTATCACAAAGAGTCGTGCTTCTCTTTGACATGGATGATTGGGACATCCAAGATCTACATTATTTAGAAAGATTATTCTATGTATAATTGGATATAATTTAAAACTTATAGATGTAGACTTTATGGAATTATGTCGTGCATGTATGCAAGGTAAGATGATTATTCGACTTTTAATTTGGAAACTTCTATAAGAATTACCAACAATGCTTGAAAGATTGCATGGTGATATTTGTGGTCCTATTAATCCAATATCGAGACCATTTCATTATTTTTTGCTCCTTGTTGATGCATCAAGTAAACAATCACATGTTTTATTATTATTAACTCGAAACATGGTGTTTGCCAATCTTATATCTATGCTTATTCATTTTTAGGCACATTTTCCTGATTGTCCTATAAAAACATTGTGTATGGATAATGCAAAAGAATTTGTATGAAAGTCTTTTGAAGACTATTGTACTACAACAGGAATTGAGTTGGCATATTGTGTTTAATATGAACATACTCAATATGGACTTACAGAGTCATTTATAAAGCGTATACAACTCATTATCCAACCACTCCTCCTTCACGTAAATTTACTTGAATCTATGTGGGGTCATGCAGTTTTACATACTGCAACATTAATAAGCCTCCACAATTTTTTTCTTGAAATTGTTTCACCACATGAGCTCATTTTGAGTCATGTTCTAAATGTATCTTACTTACGAGTATTTGGTTGCCATGCTTAGATTCTAATAATAGAATCTCAATGGCATACTATTAAAACTCGTCAATGAAAAGGCATACATGTTGGTTTTGATTCACCAAGTATTATTCATATTGTTGATTGACCAACTGGCATATTATTACATGCACGTTTACAAATTTGCCGTTTTGAAGAGAATGTATTCTCATTTCTTCAAGGAGGAGTATCCAATCAACAAAGAAATAAAGTACTTGTATTTGAAGCATCGGAAATATTTACAATGAATCCCAATCCTAAGACATCTTTGATTGAAACTGAAGTTGCTAAGATTTTGCATCTAAAACGGATCATAGATGAAACACTTGATAGCTTCAATGATGCACCTAGAATTACAAAATTCCTAATAATGAAGCTCAGAATGCACATGCTCAGATTGCAGTGCCATTGACTACAATACCTCAAGTTAGAACAACAACAAGTAAAAGAACTCGTGGATGAGATAAGCAACCATGTAAGAAGAAAGCTATAATATTAACTAATCTTGGTATTATTTCTCAAGAAATTCCTACTCATCTTGTAGGACCATCAATTCATGATGATACATCCATGCATAATGTACCTTCAATTCTTGTGAAAAATAATCTTGGAATTGGAAGGAATAAGATCAAGTTGAGTAAAGAATTATCTATTCTGTATTGTGCTACAGAAAATATTTGGGACAGATTATCTATTACGGTAGATGAATAATTTACATGTACGATTATAGAAGCCTTTTCTTGTGAGGAAGACAATCGTGAATCTCAAACCATCGAAGAAGCAATGCATTACTCTGATTGGTCAAAATAAAAAAAAAATGCTATTGAAGAGGAGTATGCCTCTTTGCATAAGAAAAAAGTCTTTGGTCCAATTGTAGACACTCTTACATCTCGCCCTATGGGATATAAGATAGTATTAATATGCAAGCGAGATGCTTAGGGTCAAATAATCTACTATAAAGCTCATCTTGTTGTGCAAGGATTTACTCAATGATTTGGCATTGATTATGAATCCACATATTTTCAAGTCATGGATTCAATTATATTTTGATATATTATTGGAATGGCAGTTCATGCCACCCTTGCAATACATTTGATGATGTGGTAACTACATATTTATATGGTTCTCTTGATGTAAATATTTATATGAAAGTTCTACCTTCCTTAGAAACAAGAATTTCAAGTGGACATGCTCTAGGACAATATTGTGGTATTAAATTATGTAAGGCCTTGTATGGTTTAAAACAATCCGGCCGCATGTGGTATCAACGTCTTCGAGATTATTTAATTACACATAAGTTTGTAAGTGATCCACTAATCTCTTGTTTGTTTATCAAACGAGATAAAATTGGTTTTGTGATCATCAGTGTATATGTTGATGATCTTAATCTAGTGAGTATTAAATCTGCATACATTGAAGCTACTAACCTACTTATCCATGAATTTGAGATGAAAATGCTAGGAAAAACAACTTTCTGCATTAGACTTCAGATTATGCATTTTACAAATGGTAGTATTTTTCTCTACCAACTAATGTATATTAGACAAATCTTGTGGAGATTCAATATGATTGATGCTTATCCATTGTCAATACCAATGGTTGAACATGGTCGTGATGGTAATGATCCATACCATCCATGCAAGGAGGAGGAAATATTGGAAGATCAATATCTATACCTTGTAGTGGTTGGAGGACTTTTACATTTAGTCACATCTACCAGACCAGATATTACATTTGCAGTTAGTATTCTTGTAAGATATAGTGCACGTCCAATACTACGACATTGGAATGACATCAAACATTTATTACGTTGTTTAAAAGGTATTGAAGACTTGGAATTATACTACACACAATCCGCAAATCCAAAATTTGTTGGATATTGTGATGTGGGATATAAATCTGATACTGCAACAGCTAAATCTCAAATACGATATGTATTTTTAAGACATGGAGTTGCAATATCATTGAAATTAGTGAAACAAATTATAATTGCAACTTCATCCAACCATGCAGAAATTATTGCCTTACATTAAATATCTCGAGAATGTATTTAGTTGCAATTAATTGATAAATTCATTCAAACAATTTGTGGATTTTCATATGATGATTCTCCAACTATCTTGCATGAAATTAATAGTGCTTGTATTGCACAGATGCAAGTTGGTTTCATTAAAGGCAATAGGACAAAGCATATTGATCCAAAGTATTTTAGTTATATCCATGACTTGATTATTAATTAAGCACTTATAATTAAGAAAATTGAATCTACAAATAACCTTCTTGATCTCATCACCAAAGCTCTCCCATTGTACAACCATTGCTGACTTACTTATCGCATTGATATGCCGCAACTTGCTTTTCTTGAATAAGAAAGTTAATAAATTCTTTAAATAATTAGGAAAAATAATATTGTACTCTTTTTCCTTCATCTATGGTTTTGCCCTTGAATACAATAAGGTTTTTCTAGATAAGGTTTTAATGAGGCAACAATTGTTGATCTTGCGAGATTATAGAAAAATATAGATCATAATTCTATACAAATTTTATATTATGTAAATATTATGATGAGCAAGAAGGAGTATTGAGAGCATTAAATGTAACTAGCACTCTCCATGATATTTACTATAGTCTACAATAAATACTATAGCTATAGTATTTGGAATGTAGTGGAGAGGAACTATTTATCCTCTCCCCTTCTCCTTTTGTATACTAGACACAATCAAATCAATAGATTTTTTTGCGTGAAGCTCTCTCTCTCCTTAGAAACTCTCTTGTGTGTGTATTACTTACTACTAATCTTGTGTCTTTCTGAACATATTTGACAGGTTTGAGTGCCACAAAAAGATCTAAGTGCTATAAAGTAAATTACTTCTGATAGCAAAATACTACAGAATTTTATTTGAAACGGCTTGAACTCCAACTACTGCCATTGATTGGGTGTACTTCTTCCAAATTTTACTAACGGGACATACGTAAACGGTCAAGTAAAATACCTAGTCTACAACGATAAGATGCAAATGAGGCTGATCACCACATCAAAATAAAATCCTTAAAAGGATATTTTCTCAAGTTTTTTATGCTCCAAGATAGACAGATTATTTCATCAATTGCGGTGAATGGCACGCAAAGGCTTCAGAGATGCAACGGCTGAAACATACATACAAATTCGTTTACGATACTCAAAACCGTTACAGTTGAAAAAAAATTGTAAGAGATAAAAGAATTCACAGGGACCAAAAGGTACGCAGCATTGCAACACTCCATCTGCCACAAGGTCCATTGAACACGTTGTGGCGAGGCAAACCTAAGTAGTTTACAAACTACGTCCTAAAATCGCTAAATAGGAGGAAGCGGCCGCCGGCATGTTGGACATTCCATTTTGATGTCCATCCACCTTTGTAAGCAGCCAGTATGGAAAAAATGGTCGCATGGGGTCACCTGCAAATGTTTCAAAAACTTAGTCAGCAATTCGAACCTAACAGTATTCAAAACAAAAAAATTACATCCAAAAAATTAGGTTGTATATGTGAAAATACAACGTTAACAAAAAACTAAATTCTACCCAGTTGCGTGAAAATAAGTAAATGAATAATATTTTCAGAGTAAAATATGGAGGGACTCAGGTTGTTAAACTGGGTAGCACACACCATGCAATCATTACACCGCTGTGAAACATCAACGGCAGCCATGCAAATCACGCAGTCAATAGGCGCATTCTCCTCTCCTCCTAACTGTTCATTAACACGGTCCACCCTGCGGAAGTAGCTGTACTTCTCAGGCAGCAGCTGCACACAATCATTTAATAGACCAGGTATTACAAATGAGTGTGAAAGTAAAAAAACATTAAAGATATCATTTCGACTCAAACTAGTATCTGCTTGGGATACATCGTGATACCGGTGTGCAATCCATATGTTCATACCTGACGAGGGATGAAACACCGGGCTCCGCAGTAGTGTTGGAGGAGAAGAATAGCTGCTTGAGCGCCCAAGAATGTAGTAAGTCCAACACACCATCTGACGTTGGCTTCGATACGGATGAAGTTGTTTGGACAGCCAAAGACGTACAGGGGAATCGCCAAGCGTGTCACGGTGATGCCCACAATGTAATGCGGGTGGAGTGATTTTCGAGAATCACGAACCACATTGGCCACAATTTGGGGGATCCAAAAGGAGTAAAAAAAGAAAACAATATAGCGAAGCATGTTGTGAAGCTCGTACATAATCAGTATGCCGCCCAGCAGAAATCCATCTGCAATCGCGATTTTATATCATTTAAACAATGCTGTTGAATACATTGTTTTCACGAAAGTGGAGCATTTGGCAAGCATGACTTTGTTCGTATATGTAGAGTAAAAGGGGAAGTTCATAACTAAGCGGACAAGCTTGCAGGATACTATAAATGAGAATAGTAAATATAGAAGCTTACAGAAACGGGAATAGAGAACTGAAAGCTCGCGACGCATAGTCTCCCACCCTTCTCCAGAACTAACAGGCCTTCGTGATTTCCAAATGGCAAGCAAGTACCGCATTTCAAAGATTGAAAATATAACAAACTTGAAGAATGCGGCAGTTGCAAATGCGTTGAACAGCGACTCTGTAAATAAGTCAATAAATTGCAAGCAATGTCAGCCTAGGATTTGCACTACGATTTGCTCAAAATCTGCAACAGTGGAGCAGAGGAAACTTCTGTATTTATGGCACACAGCCGTTCATGCTATGCGTCTCTCCAGAAGTTTAAAAAAGAAAAAGATCACTATGACTGCAAGGTATCACCTTCTTGATTGATCTCTTCCCTGCGCTTCCACGCTGCTATAGTATATGAGCCCCGACCTACAGGCAAGTGCGCAAGCCAAAGTGCCTAAAATTGATGCTCAAAAACCACTATCATCTTGTTTCCCACTACTACTGACACTAAATCTGGCGAGACCTGATCAGCTAAATCCGCACAGGAACTGGAAAAGACCAACCAGAAAGAAACAGAAAATACATACTAGAAACCCAGAGTCCAGATCTAAGACTGCCCATCCAGAACAATGATACCAAACTTGCGCAAGTGCAACAATCCGAGGATTCATACCTACAAGAATACCCGCTGTAAGGTGCAAGAGGCACAGATAAGCATCCATGATGGCTTGCTGTCCTATCATCATCAAAGATACCTTAGCGGCACCCTGAACCATCCAGAAAAAAAATCAATTCAAATTCTGCGACCAATGAATATCAAACAACAATCATCAGCAGTACAATCTCATCCAACCACAGAATCCACACGTTTCAAAGACAACTCTAGCAAACGATGTAAGGTTACAATATTCCACAAGCTTTGCTAAACAGCCAGACGTACCGACTGTGTGTTGCTGTGTTCCATTTGACGTATCAAGAAAAGAACCTGCAGAAAGGAAATCTGGATAACTATGGTCAAGAAGAATCATTTTAGACGCTAGGCATTTGTATGATGGTAATCGACGGGTTTAAAAATAAAAATAAAAAACAAATGTCAATCTCTTCATAAATATTGGAAGGGAACTCTCGTCTTCAATAGGAAATAGATTACAAAAACAAGGTAGCAGGGGCGATTCAAATCTCTGTGTAGCGTAATAATGAAAGCTTAATAAAGACCTCAACTGCAAGGAGACTTCATCTTGTCTATATTACCCAGATAAAAAGGATACAAAAGTGACCATCAACGTATAATTGACGGCTTTGTTATAATACAAAGCCACGTTCACTGACGTAGCATTTACGACAAGAGGTGAGAAACATTCGCCTTGCTCGTCGCCCATACTGGGACCTTCCACTAACCCTTGCATTTCACAAACCTGACGTTCATGTTCCCCATCTGCAAAGGCCCTAACATCAGTCTAGATTGATGAACCAAAACATTTACATTGAATCTAGTAAGAAAACATTAGAAATCCAGGAAGGCATCCCTACTATCTTAACAGTCTTCAACAAAATTAAAAATCGCACCCTCCATTGTTCCGCATAATCAAAATCAGGCACCAATTGATGAGTGCACTCGTGAAATCATATTGGAAGATAACAATTCAGAAGCTTCATGACTAAATGAAGTAATTCGAAACGTACATTTATGATCTGATACACTGGTAGATATTTGAGTGATCAGCTGAATCTTGCATGTCCTTCCCATCTCCATTATATTTGCTGCATTGCGTGACAGAGGTCCAGTTGATTGAAACTACGTAAACAACGGTTCTATAATGAAGGAACAAATAATCTCAATTCTGCATTAAAAATATCAGGTATTACGATCATAGACTTGAGATAAAAACATACAGTTCTTTTTATTGTGACGAACATAATTCCGAGGAGTATCTTGTGCCACCTGCGATGAGAACATGCCGAGCTGCGATTCATCAAGAATGCCACAACACCCACAGAAATACCTCTAGCTCTGTCAGTACCGTTTCCTCCCACTAACAAGAAACCTTCCACATGCTCTTCAGTCCATGGATCATAAAACCTAGAATGATAGTCATCTTTAAAGCTAAAATTCACAAAAAAATCTTCTACATAAATAAAACATTTGAATTACCAAGCAATCAGAATCGATCAGAAGAAACGGCACTACAATTGAAACAAGTATGATCTTCTCACCAAGTGGTAGGGACTGGATTGAATAAAATCGTCGCCGCGATTCATCTCACTGTCCACCGCACTGAGTAACAACACAGTACATAAATGAGACGCCAACTCCGTCTAAAGAAGAGCAGCTTTCAAATACTAGCATAATGATAAATCCAAAAGCATAAGAGTTAATGGGGTCAGCAACAAAAGTCAACCACATCCTTTGCAACTAATTCAACTTAGATAATACGCACATATGCTTTGGAAAATCACCAGAAACCCATGGACACTCAACGCACTTAAAATTATTCCGCAATTCATATCCAGAAATTTACCTGCTCAAGACCATGCGAAGTTGGCGGAAGGGCCACACATACACACCCTCCATTTTCATTTGCAGATCGCCATCGCTTATGTACACACCGTCGCGCAGCACTACTTCTCCCTGGTAAACCAAAATAATAACTCAAAAAAAATTCAAAATAAAAACCACTAAGGCAATCCAAATCATGAAATAAGAAAACATCAATGTCTAAAACATTTACAAATTATAACAAGCCTATCGTGTAATATGAAGGTGACAGGATGGCCTGAACTTGTTTACCTGTACAAAGTGTACACCAGAAATGTCAGTTGCTGAGCTTGTAAGTTCAAAAACTATATTTCCACTCGTTTTTTGAAACACGGGAAACTTGGACGCATAATTGCCGCTGCGAAGTGACCATGTCCCTGAAATAGCACAAGTCCAGCGGACTTCAAGTAGAAGAACACGATACCCCTAAAAATACCAGTCTGAAACCATTTCAATATGCTTTATAATAAACTGGTGTAAAAATTACAGATTGCACCAAGCACGTCTCCAACTCATGTTCAAAAATAAAGTCTTATGCAGTTGCCACCACAAAACAGCAGTGTAATCAAGGTAGCCTCAGGAAAATACACGTAAACATTTGTTCTGGTTTTACAAGTACAATGGTTCACCTTTGTAGGTTCCTGAGATGTTCAACACCGAGTACGGCCCCAACTGCACTCCACTTCCTTCCGCAAAAAGACGCTGCATTTACGAAGAGGGAATCCCCATCAACACATGCAGGATAATCACACCCGAGATGGAATCATAACCAAAATCCAAGGGTCAACATGAACCCTGAACTAAGCGCACGTTTGTATGCAATAATTGTTAAGAACAATACCACGCTTCAACCGTGATTCATACCTCATGCCATGAGGATTCTTCAAAGCTAAGCACCTTCTCCTTCAGAGGTCGATAACCAGTGGCTACTCCTGGCAACAAATATATAGTGGTGATCCACAGAGTTATAACAATTGCTCTGTTTATACCACAATTCCGCCCAGCCTCATCCCGCTGAACCTCCGGCCTCCGTACCGATGAGGCCTCCACCTGCTCGGTGACAACCGGTTCTGTTCCATCCCTTGAGAGCATAGCTTCAGCCCTAGGCTTGCTTGCTCTCCGTCCAAATTTTCCCACCTCGTCAACCGCTGGCCCCCGTAAAAGCCTCATGAATCCTCCTCCCTCTAACCCCCATCACCAAGGTCCTCTCCTACTCGCAGATTTCCTCATATATACCAGCTATACTCACTACTGCTCAAACGGTGATCACCTCAAAGTCCACCTAACTCACAGAACCGAAACAAATAACGGGTATCTGCAACGCGCCCTCAATATATTTAGAAGTGGAAGTGAAAATAAAAATTCTAAAAATGTAAAGTAAGGTTAGCATTCTCATCATTAAACAAGCTACAATGTCATTCACTTGTTCTCAGGTATACAAAGATGCAATTTCTCGCCCTAATCATATACCCTCAACAAAAATGACATACTGAATTTCAGCTGCTTTGATATCTAACTAGTTAGCATTTCAATGCAGCGAACTTGACACACGATTTAATATATACTTATCTTAGCCGTCTGTTCGTTTCGTATTATCAAACTTTAGCAGCTAATGCATACAATGCACAATAATGGTAAGATTTCAGATTGCAAATTGCCGCATTGTTATTCAAGCCAGACCTAATAAAGGATGCAAGCTTTGCAGGCTCAGTAGATGATGAATTCCACGACACTCTCAAATCAGCGTCCGAAAAGAAAGTGACGCTCTCAGTCAAATTGATAAAACAGAACATGTGAAATGCCGACGTCCATAAATAGCGTGACCCTCACCACACGCGACACCTTCCAAAAAGAATTGCAATCTCTTCAACACCTCGCGATACCAACATCTACCGACTCCTACCAAAACATCTGCGACCAACATAACAGATGTACAGCCAAATCGAAGCTAAAATTCAGCACCATCTGAACACGACCTCACCAATCATCCACCATCCTCCGCCACCATCCCTAACCTCTAGAAGCCCTAAATACACACCACCCGACGAAGAAAAACCATCACCCGGTGGCACAAACACCATTCCTAACCCTAGTGCCCCCGAGGTCTGCATAACTGGAGCTTTTGCGACACTCTGTCCGACTCCTACACATGCAAACCCGAGTAGAATGTGCTGCTGCTTCTACTTCTGCTTCTGCATACGACTCGAATCTCCACAAAACCCTCAAAACACATAGAACCTTACACTGAGAAGCAACCTTGACGCCTCTCAAAGGAACAATAGGAGCCAAACCATCGCGTAATTCTAAGCAGTGAAAGGAAAGCTGGAGTGGCTCTTACTCACCAGGATGCCGCAGAGAGACGATAGCGGAAGCAGAGCGGGCAGCAGCAGCACGAGAAGGGAGACGAGGCTGAGGAGGACGAGCATGAGGAGAAGGCATTGCTCGTGTGGACGATGATTGCAAAGCAGGAGCAGGAGTTGGAACAAAGCAAGCAGCAGCAGATGAAGTAAGGAAGCATCGTAGCAGGAGCCACCCCTCCGGACCACCGGCTGTGCCCCGCGGTGCCCGCGCTCGTGACCGGGTGCTGCCTGGAATCCCCTCCCTCTCTCGCTCTGAAGTGGCGCCTACGTGGCCATTTTGTGACGTGGCATTCGCCTGGTCTTGTTGGGGGCGTGGGTCTTGTTTTGCTAGCCCTAATTAATCATTCTTGTGTATGTTCATATTATTTCAGCAATTCGCCCATTTTTTGGGGGGAGAGGGGATCTTCATGTGCAATGATTTCTAGTTCTATGAAATTGGATGCTCCATTTGTGGGTGCAAAGTATTCCCAATGAATGAATTAACAAACAAATCTTGTGTTTACCACTTTTGTACATGATTAGCTCATGGTCATGAATCTTTTCTTCTTCTTCTTCTTCTTCATCTTTGCTTGAATAGAATTGTCTCTTGGTGGTTTGAGCATTCTTCTTTATAATGGTCATTGTATAAATTATTGAAAATAATGCTTACATTGTATGTTGTTACATACATATATATATATATATATATATATATTTCAAATGCAAATTTGAGACAAGTGTTGGATTTTGCTGCAATACCATGCTAATGGTTATTTGACTTCTATTGTGTACAAACATAAATTTGTTGCATCTTTGGAATAATGAATGTTGAATGTTTTATTCATTAGAAAAACCAATGAAATTTTTCATTTGATTGTTTGGAATGAAACAGTAAAATTTGTTTTAAATTTTATTAAAATCCATTATTTATGAAAACAACAATAAAAATAAAATAAAATAAAATAAAAAATAATGTTTATCTGAATAGAGAGGTGTAGATTCTGATGCATCATTATCATGTACCCATGTCAGGTTCATATCAAAAATTGAATATGCTGAAAGCCTACCTAAATCCTTTAATGCTATTATTACATATAAATATAAAGACGGCCAGCAAAGATTTGAATCTAAATGGCTCCATAAAAGTAGTTGTTGGGTTTGTTTATGCCTGAAAATCTTTGGCAACCTATTATTCACCAACACAACAATGATTAACATGTTCATTCACACACACACACACACATCTATATATATATATATATATATATATATGTGAATATAATATTGAATCCCTATTTGATACATGTGTTTAAAATAGAGAACAATTTTTTTACATAGATATTGTTGTAGATTTGGATAAGCAGTACATTAGACAACCACAGTTATGTGTAATTTCACAGATAATAGAATTAAAATTCTTAAATATTGTTAGGTGTATTATGGACCTAATGAATAAGTGTGTGGTTTGTTGCATTCAAAAAATTAATAGAAAATTGTATTGATAAATAAAACCCACAAATAATTTTTATAATAAGAATTTTAAGTTATTAATCATAAATTTTGATGCTTTAAATGCTTGGCTTCTAATACCAAGTTAGTAACAATTGCTCACAACCACATTCTCTAATATCATTGCACCACATATAATAAAAGGATTTCAAAAACTATTAAAATTCAATTTAAAATTTTTTCATGGGAATAAATTTTGGAAAATAATGATAAATAGTTGTCAGCATGATATTAAAAAACACGTGTGATATTAGAAAATTTTGAAAAATTTTGAAAAAAAATTAAAAGAGGTTTTTGAAAGATTTTATATTAGAGTCCACAACCACAGTAAACTATCAAAGAATGGCAAGTTAGTACTAAGAGGTGGTAGTTCAAATTTTAGCTATGAAACTCCAAATGTGGTTTGATGAATATTATTTTATGAATTACTAGCACAAATACAATGACTCTTTGGTGTTAATAAGGAAAAAAAACAAAAAAACAAAAAAACAAACAAACAAACAAAACAAAAGATGATATTTTATACTGTTTGACTCTAAAAGTCAATACAAAATTATTATATGGCAAAAACATGTATTTTTTTTTAGTTCTATTTTTTTTTTTATTAAATTTCCTTGAATTCATAAATCAAGAAAAATCAGACTATTTATAGTCTCCCCAATCTCTGTTTATAGTCTATTTAATCTTCTACCTTGCACATCTCATTATATTCAAGCAGAAATATAACCATATTTTGCATTGTTGTAACTCATTTTTGTTTTTTTTAAAACATGTTGTATGCTGATACATAGATCTTTTTCTTTAGTATTCAATTAATATTTGAATATTAAAAAGAATAATAATACACTCTTCTATATTCATCACAATGATTAATATATTTATTGATATTTGTAAAATAATATTAAAATATATAGTAGAACGTTTTTTTGGCACATGTATAAGGGAAAGTATCAAAAATAGGCCTAAAAAATTTTAAATTTATAAAATAGTCCTTCTTATGGAATTGTGGAATACAATATAGAAGTGCACTTGCAAATTGTGGAATATGATATAGAAGTGCACTTACAAATTGTAGAATATGATATAGAAGTGCAGTTGCAAAGAAGAGTCCAAGGAAAATTCCTTGGCATAGGATTGCAAGAAGGCAGTTTTCAAAGCTAGGTAACTCATCTTCCCAAACACTTTTCATTGTGTTTGTATGTGTCACTTCTCTAGGAATTTCAAAAAGAATTTAAGAATTCAGAGATGGTGAATTTACTTCAAAATATCTAATTTGTACCAAAATAAACTTGAAAAAATTAGAACAATTTCAAAAGACGTTTTCATGTGGATCAAAAAGTTTGAGCCAAATACTTGGACAATGGCATTCTTTAAGAGCATTGATACAACCATTAATGTCCAACATCACAAACTTGCTAAACTAATGCTTGATAGAAGCAAAAAATCTACATGTATATAAGATGATGAAAAGGATTCAAGACCCAAGTTGAGGGGTTTTCCCTTGGAATTGCCTTTGCAGCTCCACTTCTATAAAATAAAATTCAAAATTTTATCATAAAGATTATTTTAGAAATTAATTATTATAAAATTATCATAAAAATAAATGATATATTTTATAATATATTGAATGAATGAATAAATATAAATACATATATATATATATATATATATATATATAGTTTTTAGTATTTTTCTGTGCACATGCGTTATATCCAAAAGAGTGACAATAGCTACAAAATCAATACTTTAACTTTGAGTATCTATATGTCTTTCATAAAAACTCCAAATTGCTCCAAATTTGCACCAAAACCATATTCAAAAACCTAAACTTCTTGATTCTAGCCTCTCAAGTTCAAATGACATCAAAAGAGTAATCCTAATTCCTAATAAAGCCTTGAGTAGCCTCCTTGAAGTCCATTGGATATGAATTTTAGCCAATAAGAATGGAGATTTTCATCATCCATCTCCATTCATCTATATTGATACATCAACTATTCTTTTTGCTACCAAAATCGCTCTCTAACTCTTTTTATTGTAAGATCTATATAATATATGTTCTATATATCAAATAAAAAAAATAAAACAAGATTTCAAGAGTCACTAATATCTAATAAAGGTGATTCTAAATATATAAACTATTATCAATATAAAATCAACTTCAATAATAGCCCTTTTAAATTAACCACTTCAAAGTAGTAATCTAATTATATTTTGTCACTAACTAAAATCTAATAATATGGCTCCTATTACATTATATATTAAATTATATATTAAATATTTATGTGTATTATTTTCACATAGTAGCCAAACCACAACATGATAATGTGCATGTTCTTTTGCAATAGCCTTTTTTTGTATAGCTAAACAGACTTACTCTTTTGCTATTGCAACTTGGTGAACTTCTCTTAAAATCTTCCTTTCTTTTAGATCTATTAATCTTTTGTATTTTGATTTTTTATGTAAAATTTGTACTTTTTCTTTTTTCCTTTCTCATCAAAGATTTTAATCTTGTATTTGCTACATAGTACTCATATATGCCTCCAAGGTTAACATTAATAATTTAAAAAAAATCTACTATAAGATCTATATTGTATCTTCTCATAATAGATATATATGTGATGATAGGCAACATTGTAAAGCAAGTTAAAGATTTTGGATTTGAACATGTAAGGTCTAATCTATCAAATCCTTCTACCAATTCCTTCTACCAACTTCAAATTAGAGACATTTACATTAATTTTAAAAAATTCAATAGTAGAATTTGGAGCCAATTCTAAATTCTCTACAATGTTCTGAATCAACAAAAGAAATAAGTTTTTATCAATTGACTCTATGCTACCAACTTTATTCTCTGTAAAGATCCTACATGCATTTTTTTTTATCTTATCCAACTTCTTCTATAGATTGTATGTAAGTTTGGCTTAGATCCATATAATTATCCATTGTTATTTTGATAAGTGTGAGGCCAAATTTCACCACTTGATAAAACCTATGCCACACAACAAGTCCAAGAAGTGGAATTGGAGAGCTCCCAATTTTAGATTAATTTAAATATTTATATTAAAAATTCAATTAGTTTTAGGCCTTCCATGCAATGGTTACCAATATTAAATTTATATGTTAAATGAAATTTACTATGCAACCACAATGAAAATAATTAATTAAATTATTACTATTAATTGACTGTAAGAATAAAAACTTAAGTTTGAATTAAAAGCAAAGATAAAAGTTAAGTTAAAAAAATTTAAAGTTAAAAATTAAGATTAAAAGGTTAAATTAAAAGTTAAAATTAAAAGGTTAAGTAAAAAAAGTTAAGTTAAAAGTTAAATTAAAAGGTTAAGTTAAAAATTAAAAGTTAAAAGTTTAATTTAAAAGTTAAAGTGAGAATATTAAAGGTTAAAAGTTAAACTTAAAATTTATTAGCCAAAAAGTGAATTGTGGAGCTTACAATTCACTATGAAGATGATAGTAAAAATAAAATAAGAGAGGTGAAAGCGAAGGTACCTTAACAACAAGTAAGGATTGAAGGCAGCGACCCCCTTCTACTCCAAAATTTGCCAAAGTTTTTAATCAGCTTCAATTTGAATGATTCTTAGCTTGTTTCAAGGCTGACTTGAAGATGCTTTTGATCCAACAATCTTCATTGCAAT